TGTAAATCCGCCACTGGTTTGATGCATTGGAATCGGGGACGAAACAACGTATTTTCGAGTATATTACACTACAAGGGCTACGAAGGCTTCGCTCGTGCCGCAAATGTCGGGGCAGGCATCAATATGTTTCAATATACACATTTAATTTTTTCCCGTATTTTCGGCCGGGTTGGGTTGGGTTGGGTTGTATTTTCGGCCGGGTTGGGTTGGGTTGGGTTGTATTTTCGGCCGGGTAGTATATACTACACGGGCAGAAAGTGTGAGCATGGCGCGCAGTGCAGGAATCTCACACTTTCTGCCCTTGTAGTGTAATATACTATATACTTTAAACATTATAATAACTGGTAAATTTTTGGGGTGCTTTCGAACTCGCATTAAGAGGACATGATAAAATACCTGATGGTTATAGAAAGTTTAAACATGGCGTGATGCATGTCTTATAAAATGTTGAAGTTAATTCCAGAAACAAAATACCTTGATGTAATCGTAGTAGATTGGATACGTTTGATGTGGCGAAGATGCCCAATGCCCCAGGATGTTACTTGTGATTTTACTTAACATGCAAAAGCTTGATTGATAGAAAAAGTCTTGTAAGATCGACCTTTAATCTTGAATTCAATCGCTAGAATCCCTTGTCTCAATAATTTTAAAATAAAATTTCCTAAATTAAAATATGCAGTGTTGCTGGATTATTTACACTTGTGTGTACATGGCGTGATGCATGTCTCATAAAATGTTGAAGTTAACCTCAGAAACAAAAGAGCACCTACTTTGGTGTGATCGTAGTAGACTGGATACGTTGGATGTGGGAAGATGCCCAATGCTCCAGGATGTCACTTGTGATTTTACTTAACATGCACTTTTTCGAAGCTTGATTGATAGAAACTGTCTTGTAAGATCGACCGTTAATCTTAAATTCAATCGCTAGACTCCCTTGTCTTAATAAGTTTAAAATAAAATTCCCTAAATTAAAATAGGCAGTGTTGCCAGATTATTTACACTTGTGTGTACAGCTGATATTGGCCAAAAGATGATCGAAAAGCTTTATTTTTATTAACTTAAAACTCTAGTATCAATTGATGTCATATTTTTAATTAAATTAAATTGGAATTTGAGAGGGTGATATTTTATAACTTAATCCTAATTTATCTTAATATTTCTGCAGCAAATTTAGAAGAGGCTAGCGATAAATGAAAAATTGCTATGGACCTTAAAAATTAATTTTTTTGCGACGCCCCCTAAGAAGCTTCTTTTTGATGAAAAAACACTGGTAAATATTTTATTTTTTTAATTAAAAACAACACGTGCCTCAAGTATATATAATCATGTTTTTTGGGAATTTTTTATGAAAAATAAGATTTTATTCGAAATATAAACAATTAAAGAACCCAAATCAATAAAAAAACAATAGTTAATCGAAATAACAATAGACAAAAATTTAAATTCAAAAATTTTCCCAGTTGATTTGGTCTATTAAATAAAAAAATGAAAGATATTCAAATTGATATTTTTATTTTAAAACTAAATTAGTCCAAACGTAATTTTAATATCTAGATTTCTTCACTCCAAGGTGAAGTTATTTCATTGTTAATAATTTTTAAATGTCAAAAAAATATTATTCCATATTTTCAGAAAAGACATGATTATACCAAAAAATTAAATTAGATCGTCTTGAGGGACGTGTTGTTTTTAATTTAAAAAAAAATAAAAAAAAACTCCTAGTGTTTTTCATCAAAACGAAGCTTTTTAGGGGGCGTCGCAAAAAATTTATTTTTTAACGACCACCTAATGGACCTCTTTGAATTTAATCAAAAAATTATAATGTGTTGATGGAATATTTTTCCAATTGGATCGAAGTTAAACAATTACAATTAAAAAATTATGTTATTTTACTTTTAAAAGAAATATTTGCCAGAAAGGGGATTCCAGAAATGTCAGATAATATGCCGTTCAATAGTCATTCATTTAAGAAATTTTCAAGAAATTGGGATATAGGTCTTATAACTAGCATTCCTACTTACCCACAATCCAATGGTCTAGCTGAAAAGGGAGTAAATATTAACAATTGTTAAAACAATGTTAAAAAGGGCATACCAAGAATCTTCTGATATTTACTTAATGATGATGGAATCAGTGGCGGCTGGTGGATTTTGGGTATACCGATTTCTCAATTATTAGATATGGCACCCACACCAAATTTATATAGGTTTATAATGACATTAAATAAACAAGTTCTGCGCAAGCAGAATTTAAATTGAAGTTTGCGAAAAAAAGATAACTTATTGCTTGGCCGCACCAGCCCCATGGCGCCCCAATAAATATAATATAAATGTTATTGGTGCAATTTACCATAGTTTATTGAAAAAATTCAAATTTTATTTAAAAAATCCAAGTCATACAGATTTTATATCATTTTAAATTTTTATTATTTCTTTGAAATGAAATATTAAAAATTCAAAATGGTATAAAATCTGTACAACTTGGATATTTTAAATGAAATTTGTCGATAAACTATGGTAAATAATAAATTGCACCAATTAAATTTATATTATATTTATTGGGGGCGCCATGGGGCCGGTACGGCCAAGCAAAAAGTTATCTTTTTTTCGCAAACTTCAATTCAAATTCTGCTTGCGCAGAACTTGTTTATTTAATGTCATTATAAACTCCGCCACTGGATGGAATACAGGATGGAATTCACCTCTAAAAGGTGTTGGATGCTCACCTGCTCAATTAATGTTTAATAGAAAAATAAGAACAAAATTATTAACTGCAACAGAATCTTTAAAACCAGAAATTCAGAAAAATATCACTGAAAAAAATATCAAACAAAGAAATTCAAAAAATTTATTATACCAAGCAATCCAATAATAATAATAAATAAATCCTTAAATGGAAATGATTTTGTGTTAATAAATTATGGAAAAAACTGGACATAAGGTAAAATAGTAAAGAAATTAAAATATCCGCCGCGTTCTTATTCGGTTATTCATTTAAAGTTTACTAAAAACGCTCCAAGATATAATAAAGAAGATGATTAGATACGATTTGAATGTTAATGGTTACATAATATGTGCAAGTAATAGATTATCAAATAACTTATCCAATTATACTACTGTTACCATTAAAAGTGCACATATTGTTCTAAGCGTTCTTTTTCATATTTTGCATTAATTGACTTCGCAATTGCGGGGAAGTATGTTTGAGATTAAGTCTCTAAAATGAACTATGTCTAAGCCACTAATAAATTTATGTAATCTCCATGAAACCTTGTTCCTAGGGAAACGTAATATTATATTTGACAATTTTAATACATACAAAAATAATTTGTCAATGATCAATAAATTGATTTATACATGCTTTACTAAGGCAAACAAATCTGTTTGCTGTTCTTAAACAAATGCAATTGTTTTAATGTGAAAAACATCAGACCCCTGTTTAGTTTATTAAGTAATACTTTTTGTAAAACAAAGCTTAATTTTAACTACTACCTACTACTACTACTACTACTAGATGCATAATATTTTAAACTTTGCATGCATCGAAATAATAAACATTAAATTAAATTTAAAATATTAATAATTTATATACCATATAGTTATTTAGGTCCTAAGGCTGAGAAGTAAGTCTTTTTGTGCTGAACTCAATAAAGTTGAATTTTACCGTCTCCATAGGGACAAGAGGTGTTTCTATGTCTGGCAAAAGTAATCACAAATGCCTAGGCGGTATTTTTTTTACTTTTTTTAATTAAGGTCGCTGCAATAATATGGAAAATTAAAATAAGATTTTTATGATTGTAATTAACTTAATTTAAACAAAAGCTTTAAGGTAGTTGTCGTGGTACAATATTGTCAAAAATTTTTAGATTATACGCACCGTAAAAGTATACGAGCTGGTAGCTAAGTGATTCATAATTTGTTCGCAAGACTGTACCCTGGAGACGTTATTTTTACGTAATACTTTCAAATATTTTCATAAGTTTTAATCCGGCAACGTCGCTTATGCTCAACCAATAGATATATTGGAGACTGAATCAGACATTTGAATTTACTGCGGAAATTATATCTATACTCGCGTACAGCCTTGCCAAGTTGTTTTTATCTGACACTAGTGATGTATACTTTTTACAAATTGTTGAACTTTAAACGGTTATTTATAAACAATTGGACGGTCAAAAATTTTTAATTATTTTTTTTTAAACTCAGCAAAAATACATTAAAACAATGTTAGTTTTTTGAAAGCTTCTGACAGTTAGTTTTTTCTGTATAACTAAGAAACTGGTACAGAACTACAGAAAGCCTATACAATCCATGTTAATTATCCAATTTTTAATTGAATTTATCTCGGGTTATAGACGGTCAATCGACTTCAAATTTTAAGGATATATGTATTGTCATGTCCTTAATAAGTATACAAAAATTCAAAATTTTCTGATGGTATGCTTATAGCACGACAACTACCTTAATCCTTCTATAAAATAATTATTATAATTAGTACAGAGTACATATTATTAGGGCATGGCAATGAAATATCTACTCGGATCCAGGTTTTATGAAACCTTCACCAAGATCTTAAACTAGTGCTAGTGCAGGCGGTGCAGTGCACCGGGGCCCTCGGTTGTAAGGGACATCAAGGAAAGTGTAATGTAATATGTATAACCTCAAAAATTATGTAAAAATTGAGTTTTTTTACTTTGAGGTTGAAATTCCTTCTGATGAAGCAAATCTGAGGTCGAATTCGGATTCAGCATATTTTCGACCTTCAGAAAAATATAGCCTACTTTCACATTTGTGTAATTTTAAATCAAGAACTGCTATTTAAAAAAGGAATCGAGAAATTGTCAACTTGTTCATATTTGCTAGAGCACGTAGTTTTTAGAAGTTAAATCCTTAATAAAAAGCCTTTCATAATCTATTAAATCATTGAACCATGGTTCAATTTAGCACACATAACGCTTTCTAAACACTGTAAACCTCAACAATAAGCAAATTGTTTTGTTTCAGCTGACTTTCGAATCCTTTGCAGTCGGCACTTTCGAATCCTTTACTCTGGAAGGATGTCCGGACGGTTTTATTTCAATAAAGGAAAGCAACCGGCCGGCAACTGGCGGCAAATGGTGCGGAAGCGCTTGGGGATTCACCGTATACTACAGCGAAACGCCAAGCATTAATCTCACGCTTATGCTGAACCGGTTTTCTCAACAGGTAAATGTAGTGCTAATGTGGTTTGATTCACCTTTACAAAGTCAATTCTAATTAGTTTTGTTAAAAATGCTGAGGATGCTTTTTAAACCATTAAAGATTTTATCCATTTCATTTCGAAACGTTATCCTTTAAGAGTAAAAGGCAAAACTGTTTGTTAAATAATTTAACTTCTCCTTTTTTGCTTTATGTATATTTCTAAACTCGTAGTACCTTACCTTTATTTAAAATATACGACCACTCATATTAGTTAGCCCAGCCACTAGAAAATATTGTAAATGTATATTACTTACCAACAGTCAGTTTACAATTTTCTTTAACAAAATAAATTATTTTTGTTGTTGCTAGTAAAAATTGACATACCTAAGTACAGTGATTTATACTAAGTATAATAAAAAGCAAATTCAGCAATATCAACCAGAACGGTTACCATAGTAACAAAGGAACTTAATCTGTAATGTTTAATTTAAAAATGTATAATAAAAAAATAATATAACTTTTGTTGCCACCCTAAACAAAATATAAAAAAATAAAATTTTGGGCCCCGAGGGAGACCCTTAAATACACAAACTACTTTTGGCATAAGGCAACTTTTTTTTGGTAACCCTAAATTGAATTCAATATATATTTTTTTCGGCCCACCCTAATAAGGATACATAAAGATTGAATAATATTATCTCGGATATTATTATAAGAGAAACATGTTTAAAAATCAAATTAAACTTAAAATCCGAAATAAAATATTTATTTTAACATTTATTTTTATATAAAAATAATGTAAAACAATATAAAAAAGTCTAGTCTTTCAATAGTGCCACGCTATTCCTAATCAAAATCCATACATTTGAACTGGAATAGTTAAAACGTATTGTTTAATATTAATATATCCATCGAATTCTAATTGAACTAAAAAGCCTTTATTTTCCACTTCATGCCATTGACACATTACCCCCACAGATTTTGTGTTTCCTTTGGCATTTGCAAAAGTATTAGAATATTCAATTCCTCTCCACGTTTTTGCCTCTGGGTGTGCAAAAACCAAAACAAGACCAATTAAACATTTTTTATTTTGTTGTTGTTGTTGTTTAAATAGGCAACAGTCTCCTATAATAATTTCTTTTAATATTACTACTAAGTGAGTTTTCTCCAAGGAAGGACAATTTTTTTTCTAATTTAGATTCTTGTACACGTTGTAATCTCTCAGCGCTTAATTTAGTGTTTTTGGTGCAAATAAACCAACATATGGAAGATTTTCTGACTACGTATTCTTCTCCTTTCAAATCTCTTACGACTGCAAAGAGGCTATTGACGTTAAGTTTTATTTTTTTATTCGAATGATCTGGTAATTCTACATCTCTTGTAATTTTGGATAGCACATTTAAATCTTGAAGGAACTCTTCGGAATCGCATCCATCTGAATTATCAATTTCAATGCAATTTTCTTGATCAGAATCCTAATTTTCTACAGTATTACACTCTTAAATATCATTCTTTAGATTACTAATTTGAAATTTTTTTAAATAGAGGTTTGGGAAATGCGCTCTCCACACGATACTCATCAGTTGATCAGGGGATGGGCCTGTGTGGTGCTCAGGGATTCTCAGGAACCCCCTGTCCCACTAATACCCTATCTTTTCTTCGTGGAGCCTCCTAATAGGGACTGCCTTTTGGCATTATATCTGATAGGCCACGGGGAAAAACATCTTATGCGCGCTGAATCATCGGCGTCCTTGGTAGTAAGGAGCTTCCTCAAGAACGTCGCCACTGCCTTCCAGCTAGCAGCGTTCCTGACCATCATTCCGATGATACCCTTTGGCTCAATAGTCTCTTCAACCTCCAAGCCCAGAAGAACTCTTTCCCGTTCGAATCTAATACAGCGGAAGATGGCATGTTCAACTGTCTCCCGCCTTTTAAAGCTGTGCTGGTACGATCCAAATGCTCCATGCTCTGTTAGAATCTGCCATGAAGTACTCAACCTTGCCATGTCCCCTTTGGTACCATATTATGCAGCTCCGGAATGAGCCTCCTCGTCCACTCTCCCACCGTCTCCGTTCGCCATCGCTCCTGCCATTTTATGATGGTTTCTTCCCGGCACTCTGTTGCAGGTGTGCCTGGGTTCATCACCCTCCTCTTTCTCTCCTCCACATGCAGGTCCAGGGGGAGGACTGTCGCAATCACCATGGCAGCCTGCCAGACTGTCCTGTATGCGCTGCAGATCCGTAGAGCCATCCTGCGCTGCAGACGGTTCAAGGCATCCCTGTGCCTTTTGTGCCTTATAGCTTCTGCCCAAAAAGGGGCCGCATACAGCATACGCTACACCCCCACACCGCACAGCAGGCTTCCACCGACGTTGGGCATCAGTATGGCAACACGTTTAACAGCCTCCTCAGTTCTGGGCATGGTCCTCGCGATATGGATTCCCATATTGTAGCCGCACCACAGCCAAACTCCCAATTACTTCAGAGCCCGGCCTGCCTGAATTCTGTGACCGTCCACCATGAGCTCGAGCTCTGGCATCCTCCTCTGCCCAACCAGTACAACTGCCTCAGTTTTATGAGCTGGCAGTTGTAGTCCAGTAGTTGTCATCCACTCCATAACAATTATCAGTGCAGTATTTAGCTTAGCCTCCATTTTGACACTGCCTCTGCCTGCCCCCATCATCGCAAGATCATCAGCGTACCCGAGCAGCGTTATGCCGTCCGGGACCGGCTCGTACATAATGTTTTTTCTCTCTTATGGCTTTAATTTTCACTTCTGTCCCTATTCAGCTTCTGGGTCTCTCCTTAATTCCTCTCTGGGTGTTAGGTTATACCTCGATCTTCTCGGTCAGGGCTTTGATATGACCCTGCAGAGATTCTATAGTCTCGACTAGTACCACGTGCCACATTTTCTTTTTGGTTGACCACATCTTGGAAAGAAGTGTCACCCATCATTCTCTTTTTCGTCGATGATCCAACCGAGTCACATCTGTTCAGCAAGCTTGTGAAAGTCAGCCTGCTGTGCAGCTGTGTTGTTTTCGGGGTAGACATCTCATCATCGCCTAATACGATGGGGTCATAGACGTTATAACCGCCCAAGGACGGTCTCCTGAGGAGTTCGTTCCTCTGTGGTATCCCAGTAGTACCTACTAGGCTCCCGAGCTGGTTTTCCCCCGGCGCCGTACAGTTGCTGGTTGACAATCGGGTGTGGCCTGCACTGCCAACACGATTCCCGACCGGTACTAGGGTATATCCCCCCTTGCAGCGTAAACACTACATCATTGCCTAACTTCATGTTCATTTTTTCAAATGGTTTTCTCCATTGCCTTTTATACCTGCGGCCAGGTGTGCATTTTTTGGTCCACGAGAGCTATTTGATTTCACTCCTGCCACCCATATCTGGATGGAGGAAACACATAAAACCCCACACGGGTACTAATTTGAACTGGGTCTGCTTCTTTTATATTAACTTTCATACCAAGTTTTGATATTTCTTCATACGCGTCTTTTTTGTCATCAATTGGATGAAAAGGGATTGATACATTTTTATTTTAAGTTTCGTACGAAGCATTTAGATGCCGTGTACTTCGCTTCCGAAGTCAAAGACAGAAATATCTGCTTGCAATTGAAGTCTCAAGTGTCTATAAATGGCTTCTAAAAGAGTGCAATTAACGACAGTAGAAAAAGTAGTACTCGTAGATCTTAAATTTCTAAAAAAACTTTCACATTGCTGACTGCCACTGCATAAAATTTTCGGAAGAACCTTTTCCTTGAAGATGGCATTGATTTTGGTGCACGAACAGTTAAAACTGTGTACTGTACCAAATACAGTATATTCGGCATTGAACATTGATTTCAGTATTTAAATATGAGTTTATTACTTAATATACAACAGTCAGGTATGTCTGTGTGCCTTTACTACCTGGGACGTGTTTTTTAAGCAACGAACATATTCTTGGATGGGAAATTTTCTCTACGGACATAAAATTCATTTTGTCTGTTGTATTCACGTTGCTTTGAGTTAAAAGGATGTCCAACAAAATATTAACACTTTAACAGATGACAGGTGACAGATGGCAGGAGAAATATAATAAATGACAGGTGAAAGGTGAAAGATAACAGGAGACAGATGACAGATGACAAATAATATTTTATCATCTTTTAAAAGTAACGTCTATCGGCAATTCCGATACGGTAAATATGCTAAATTTAAAAGGACCGACTATGGAAGTTGTCACTTAAATTTTTATACTTGGTGGTCCCATTTTATATGACTCTTCTGTCGAAAATTTACCTATTTCTTCTGGGAGTTAAATTTTGAGATACACAATTCAGTACCTTAACGCTGAATGTTGTCTCGCTGATTTTAGAGTGGTTTACCCCTCGGGTATTTCGCTAAACATAAATAATATTAATTATAATTATAATTGGCGAATGCGCCGGTATTAATAATTATTAATCCCGACGCATTCGCCAATTTTGTAAATATTATTAAAATGTTTTCTTTCTACTCCTATTGCATAATATTGACATTATTTGTTTTTTCCATTTATAATGATAACCAGTATAACCGCCCCGTCTAATAAGGGTAATATTCAACTCAATATTCCCGTTACTAGGCATCAGTGATTGGCCGATTTCATTATTCACTGTCATTTGGACCAATTGGGTAGTTGCAGTTCGAAAAACATCATACGCCTCTGGTATACTAAATAAAATCTGACATTTTTCAAATGATCCAACCTTACTTTTTAATTTATTCTTTATTATTTTCCATTAAAAATAATGCAATGGGAGTAGAAAAAGCATATTTGCATTACTCACTCGAATGTTTTACATCTAATCCTGCATTAACAAGGCGTGAATCAAGTAATTTAATGCACTGACCGAAGTTTTTGACAGTATTAGGTTACTTAAAGCACAGGGTGAAGTTGGCTTAAAGCTTAAAATTGGGAAAAAGTTGAGTTAAAACCGTTTGACAATTGTCAAATTGGGAAAAAGTGAGGTTTAAACCGCTTGACAGTTGTCAGATATCAGATAAACTGTCAAGTATAATTTTTTTCAAGTCCTGAAAAACATTACTTTGTGTTAGTCGTAGATAAAGTATGCAATTCGTTTTATAAACTTCTCAAGAAGACTATTATAAACTTGCTGCGCAAGCTACGCATTATTAAACTCGTAATTTGGCGTTTATAAAACTTTTTAGTATATAAAGTTTATATTATAAACTGAGCCTAAGGCCCAGATATACAAATCTGGGACTCGATTATCACGATTTTAAACGTACAGGACCCTTAACTATCGAATCTAATGCTTGAAGTTACCACTGGAAAAACTTATTTTGGCCAGGTTTTTGGAATTTGGATCCACTGTGCAGCCTAAGATATAAATTCATCACAAAAGTATAAAATTGTGAGAACTGGCCAAACACTATCAATGCATTCAAAAGTTATGGAACCTTTTTAAAAAAGTGACCTCAAAATTTAATTGTTTAGAAATTTCGCATTGTTTGCAAAACTGCTTTGCAGCCTGGAAGCTATCGATTTAGCCACATGCAATTTAATTATTTAAACAAAATTTCGTGCTGATTTCACCAATTCCGACCCAATAACCATTGATTAATTTATGAAAAATTATTCTAATAGCTTTAAACCTAATACACACAAAATCAATATAAAATTCGAGATAAAAATCTTTATTAATATACCAAAATTAGGTCATCATATGAAATAGGTAATAAAATTTTCATTAGATTAATTTTTTTCTAATTAAGTACCTAATAAAATCTTAAATCTAAACTGAATATCGAACTAAATATATTCGTAATTCAAGATTGTAACTCGCCTAAGCCTAAATGTTTCTCACAAACAAGCTAATGGAGTGTTAATTCACTTACAAAGTTTAACCATTAAACTACATTAGCAAAGTTAAAATTACATCGTTTTAAACTATTAATATAATTCGTACAAGTACTGCAGTTTCTTACTCACGCCACGTTTAGAATTTGAAAAAACTGATTGTTATACACTAGGGTGATGCAAAAAAAAAATTTTTTTGAATTCTATGCGAGACCACTCGGGTTTTCAAAGAGTATCAAGAAAATAAAAATCTGTAAAAATTTGAGAGAAATCAATTAAAATTTAGAGGTCGCTCAACGCAATTGTTTAATTTAGAAAAATCACGCATCTCAAATGCATTGCTATAAACAAGTAGGCATATTTCATACAAATTTGAATGAAAATGGTAGAATTTTTTTTTGGTGGACTCTTAATGATTATTCTAATAAATAATGTTGTCCCGATTTCAAAAAATTGTTCATAATATTTAAAAAATATATATTAATTAGCAAATATAGCTTAGTTAACAAATAATTCATTAAATTTTTTTTTTGTTTCAAAATCTGTAAAAACATTGTTAATAGGTCTACAAGCAATTATTCATTCACAAAAACACTTGCCCCCATCGTTAAATATGAGAGAAAAAATAATATTTTAATTAACTACACTTCGCGTCAAATTTAACGCACCACTAAAAGTTTGTCACATTTTCAAAGTTGATTTTCTCGCGAACCGTCGAACCGAATTTGGTAATTTTTGTTTTAAAATTGAGGTTTATTCTTTGGTTATGATGCCTTTATTAAAAAATTCTTTTAAATTTAAGTTTTGAGTATATACAATGTATATTATACATATATAACCGTCAAACCGAATTTAGTGATTTTTATTATAAATTGTAGGTTTATTCTTCGCGATTCTTCGGTTTATTAAAATATATTTTAAATTAACATTTTGAGTATATACGATATATATAGGGTGCAAGTGTAATAATTAGTTTTTTTCCGGAAATTTGAAACGCCCTGTTGGTTGTACCAGCTATAACAGCATATGTCTCATAATCAAACTATAGCCCCATGTTCTCTTAACATTTTGTATTTTTATTCACCGGGTTATCTTTATTTTTAAATGAAATATACATTTAAAGATTAAACATTAAGGTACCATGAATAGTGTATGATATATCGAGGACATTTTATTTGAGCATGTTGTCCCTTTCGCCCGGTAATAATTTTTTACTGATGCAGGATAATGCTATATAGTGCAAGAGTACTTACATGAGGTGGGTGTTAAAACTTAAGACTGGCCTGCAAATAATCCGGATCTCAACCTCATTGAGCATTTTTGGGATAATATGGGTAGACGACCAAGAAATCAAGATCCCTTGCCTGCCTCCCTTGATGACGTAGCAAATATGCTACGAGAAATATGAAATGTCATTGATCAAGACGAGATTAGACATCTGGTTTCGAGTGTGAGCCGTCGATGTGAAGCCGTAATTAGAAGTAGAGGCAGAAATACGCGATAATGATATTCTTTAATGTTGGTTTTATTGATTTTGTTAATATTTTTGTTGTTATTGTTACAATCGTTCTTTTTACATTTTTGTATTAAACTGGATTAAACTGGTTCTTTAATCTTTAACTGTATATTTCATTTAAAAATAAAGATAACGCGGTGAATCAAAAAACAAAATGTTAAGAGAAGATGTGGCTATAGTTTGATTATAAGATACATATGCTGTTATAGCTGGTACAATCCACAGGGCGTTTTAAATTTCCGGGAGAAAACTTATTATCAGTCTTGCACCCTGTATATACTCAAAATGTTAATTTAAAAAAATATTTTAATAAACGCATTATTACCGAAGAATAACCCTACAATTTATTATAAAAATCACTAAATTCGGTTTGACGGTTCGCGAGAAAATCAACTTTGAAAATGTGACAAACTTTTAGTGGTGCGTTAAATTTGACGCGAAGTGTAGTTAATTAAAATATTATTTTTTTTCTCATATTTAACGACGGGGGCAAGTGTTTTTGTGAATTAATAATTGCTTGTAGACCTATTAACAATGTTTTTACAGATTTTGAAACAAAAAAAAAATTGAATGAATTATTTGTTAACTAAGCTATATTTGCTAATTAATATATATTTTTTAAATATTATGAACAATTTTTTGAAATCGGGACAACATTATTTATTAGAATAATCATTAAGAGTCCACCAAAAAAAAATTCAACCATTTTCATTCAAATTTGTATGAAAAATGCCTACTTGTTTATAGCAATGCATTTGAGATGCGTGATTTTTCTAAATTAAACAATTGCGTTGAGCGACCTCTACATTTTAATTGATTTCGCTCAAATTTTTACAGATTTTTATTTTCTTGATACTCTTTGAAAACCCGAGTGGTCTCGCATAGAATTCAAAAAAAAATTTTTTTTGCATCACCCTATTATACACTTAAATAACATTTAACAATTTTATATTTATTTTACATGTATTTGCTTTATTTTTATTATAATAATAGCTTTATATTTTTTACTATTAGTAGTATACAAGTTGGTTAAGTTAAGTTAAGTTGGTTACTCCGTGCACATGTAAAAAAAATATTGATTAGCTATATGGCGATAAACAAAAGTTTTTTATTTTTCAGACAACTTCGGGTTATACTTTTGAATTCAAGTTGTCGTATAAATTCTTGAAACTTAGCGATGCCAAAATAAGATACGGTAACGCAACGCAGCGAACCTACAGGGGCAAACTGGGCCCCGCAACGTACTGTGATAGGTGAGTACATTGAAATGCAAAAAGTACAAAACCCATGTTAATTCAATATTTAATAGAGGGTGTAATGTAATTAATATATATTAAAATGGGTAGGTCCATAAGGAATTTGTATTCAAAGAATCTTACAACAATGACTCAATGACTCCCCAATCCGCACCTGGCTATGGTCCCACAATTACATTACTATAGGATATCAAACAAGTATTTTTATTACATAAAGTCATAAACCCTAGCTGTGGGAGCAGATAAAACATTTTACACCGCCAGGGTTGCCAGTTCTACTGATTTTTCAGTAGATCTACTGATTTGCTGATTGATCTACTGATCTACTGAAAAATGTTGTAATCGACTGAAAAAAATATGACGTTTATTTATTATGGTTATCAATAATATTTATTTAATCATTTACATTTATCTTGCATTAAATTTCGAACGCTATATTTAAATAAAGTTACAAGCATTATTTAAAATTCTAACGCGTCTTAGCGCTTGATATGTTGGTAAGCCGGGAAATCCCCGTCTGGGATTACGGAGGAATTATGTCAAAGAGTAGTCGTTATGTAAAAGACCATGGGGACGGGGACTTCCCAGCTCCGACTGAATTTGTTTTCAAGTGAGGACTATAACTCTGAAAATAAACATTCCGGTCCGTCAAAGAAAAAAATATAAGTATGATCCACATCGGAATATCCGAATTCAAAGGTATGTTTATTTTTTTTTAATGAAAATATTTGGTTATAATCGAGGTTATAACACATTTTTTGTTACTAATTTGCTACCCTTTGTTACTTTTTTTCATTTCTAAATAAATACATATTTTTTCGACGTTATAGTTTTATTTTAGTACCCTATTCTGAAATTTGTAGAGCAAAAAATAAGTATACTGAAATCTACTGTATTTTTGACCACATATTTACTGAAGGAATGAAAACCGAATTGGCAACCCTGTACACCGCACAGGAGGTAAGTTTTGACTCTATTGCCAGCCCTCGCAGGCTTGGGTACAAACTCGTCCTCGACTGGTAAAATCTACTTACCTCCTTTGTAGTGTAATATACTATAATTTTAAACAAATTTTATTTCTACATTACATTTTTTCCAATGTAGCATTCAAGAAGTAACAAATGTTGATGGTACAAACTTTTTGCAGATTGCTGGAAAACTGTTCAAAGAAACCCTGCAAGATACAATCACCCAACTATCCGGGAATCTATCCTAGAAATGTTAGCTGCCACTATAGAGTACGGGAAAAGAATGTTCCACCGGGAAAACACGCATTAATTACAGTTCGACAGGCTAATTTTCATTACAAAGAAAATATACCAAAATTCGATAACAGTGATAGGGTTTTAAGGTAAGATTTTAAAGAGTTATTTTTTCTATCTAGATATTTGGCATGATAAATATATAGTGAAATCAAAATAGAGTATGAGTATGAATATAAGAGACGTATAACCGGCCCCATTGCCTCGAGAGCGACATGCGAATAGTTTCAATAGCCTTTCCCGGATTCGCCGGGCCGTTGCTATACGCCCAATAGGGAGCAGACATTTTGGTTTTTGGGCGACAATTAAGCCGACTCAAATCTGAGTACGACGCGGAATCCCCCTAGACCGGGAAATTAGTATTACTCCAAACTGACCAGTCCTGCTAATCCAACGATTCTAATAATTTTTATCAAGACATTACCTAGCAGCAAAACAAAAATATCTTGGAGCACCATCATTCAAAAAACATAAGTTTTTTTAACGAAATGTACCTTTACATAAAAGATCATTTTCCAAAAAAATTACTAGAATTTTCTGGTTAAAACTATGGCAATGAAAAATAATCGCCAACAAACGCGCAATTTGACATTTAATAAACCGTTAAAATAACAAGCTTTTAACATGTTTTTAAATGAGCATTTCTGCACCCTGGCGTATAAAATTTGTTTGCAGTTTTATTCCATAAATCACGTAAAGTTTGGCTAATCATTTTAGTTACACCTTGTATAATGGTAGGTTTAAAAGCTAATGGTAAAATATATACACAATTAAAAAATCATATTATTAATACTAAATTATGTTTTTAGGATTTGGGACCAGTGCAACATGATGCAGGACTACATAGAAATCCTGGACGGATGGGGTCCAAGTGCTACCACCTTAGCTCATCTATGCAGCGGTGAAACTGTTCCAGAAATAATAAGCAGCGGTCCAGAACTACTAGTAAAATTCCACACTTCACCATTCGGAAATCCATTTCATCCCCTGCCATTATCCTACCTACCGGGCTTCGAGCTAGAAGTGGAAGTGTTTTTCGTGAACAAAAAATCACCGAGTTATATAGAGCATGGAAAGAAATGCGAATTTTTGGTTACAACTTTTGATAATACTACTGGCTTATTGGAGAGTCCGCTACATAGTCTCCCACCTAACACTACTTGTGAGTATCATTTCAAAGGGCAAGCCAATTATATAATATGGATATCATTTATAAAATATCACGTAACCAATGAGAGATTAGCTGATTTTAACACAGGGGACTGTGATGTCCAACTAAAAATATGGGACGGTGATATAAAGGGAAAAAATACCGTACAACTTATAGGACAGTTCTGCAAGTTTGACAAACCCAAATTATGCGATCATTCATTGCTTAAAAACTCTTCCAGATTGACCAGACCTTGTGGTTTAGCTGAGAGTTATATTTCTACAAGCACAGATTTAACAATATCACATACCATACGGTATGGTAGTGTTTTATATCCAGTAAACTTTATTCTACGTTACGAGTTCGTCGATTTGTCCCAAGAAGGTTTACAAATGACTAAAAACCCATGCGATAGACTGTTTAAAACTGATTCAGGTCGTTTCTACTCACCTAAAATTACATTTTTATATGGGCGCGGAGGTCAAAAGGATTTAACATGTACATATCAGTTTGAGTCCAAGAATAATCAGAGGTTAAAAATTACTTTTAACAAAGCTAACTTTGGGGATAAATCATGCAGCTCAGAGTATAATCCCGAGACAAACAGATGGATTTGCACACCTAAAAATAAGAATAATGGTATGGCGAGCATTAAAATTTCGGAGTTTCCTTGGAAAGGCATTGAAATCAAAAGGGATTGCATATGCAATAACATAAGCGAACCTTTTAGTATAATTACCAAAACCGCTAGCAAAGTATTATTTAAATTCCAAGTAACCAACATGAAGATTACAGAAGATTTTTATGATTATTACTTTGATGCTAATTTCCAGTTTATACCAAATGATAGTAACTGCTTTAATCCTTGGAAAAATCGCAGACTTAAAGGTACAAGTGGAGAAATTACTGTACGAAATAACGAGCATAGCTTAACGAGTAAATTAAACTACCAAAACCAAACTATTAAATACTGTTTAAATCAACCTTGGTTAATAGAGCCTGAAAATAATTTAGGTAACTACATCTACCTAAAAATTAAGGGTTCTGAAATACGAGACTCTAGATTGTGTCACAGCAAAAACCGAATCCTAGTATTTTCCCCAGGTAAAACTGAAGAAATACACTTGATTTGCCCCTATTATCAAAACATTGATGATGTGGTCGAAATGTTTTCGGAGGGTTGGAGTATTTTTTCTTACAAAAAAATACAAAATAAGCATTCCAGAAGTTTTATCATTGAATTTCTTCAAAGAGAGCCTGGTAGTTTTTCCGTAAACTGGATGGAAGTTTCTAAGAACCCGGCTTTAACATTACCTTCAAGTCTTTTAATGATTATTCCCCCTGAATGTCCTCATAGGTAAGTAAAATGGCGTATTTTTTAATCAAAATATTTTTCCCTAAACAAAATACATTTAGAAACATATGTTGCAGCGTATCAATGTATACATGTCATGAGCATTCATACTGATTTAATTTGGTTACATTGAGTTAAAGTTACATTAGTTTAAAAAATTTATAAATTGCCAAATGCTCGTTATAGCAACACAAATTGCTGGTTAAGTTTAGTTGACCAATTATAGTCGAATGAATTACTTTTGATTGTTCAAAATTTTACAAATAAATCGCTCTAATTGGTCTTTTTGAGATAAATGACAGGTGAAAAAAAAATTGTCAAAATAATACAGAACTCTGCAAAAATACTTTGTAAATCTGAACAAAGCTTCATGCTGAATATTTACGCCAGCAATAATCACCAGTTTCATTTAGTCAACAAATAACCAACCAGTAAATTTACAAATTAAATCAAATCAATCTTTATTGGCCACGTTTATGAAAAGAACATTTTTGGCAAGTCAGTTTACCTATTTTATCGAAAATAAAAAAAATATTGTGAAATATTAAAAGTTTATTACGAAATTGAAAACTTTGAACCTAGAATTAACACTAAAGTAATAAAGGAACCACAGATATTTTCGGATGCTATTATCTTAGTTTGGCAATAGTGAGGATTGGTTTTCTGTTTTATAACACTATTCACTTAAGGTCCCTATAAGCCAAGGGGTACAAGCACATTTTGTTTAGTTTGAGATAATCATTGTTTCAAAGTTAAACCCTCTTGCAATTTAGAGTCAAAATTATTTGTTGTTTTATGACTGTTTTTCAAGCTTTACAAGCTTATACTTTTGTTGTATCCCTTGGGTACCAAGTAAAATGTACCTTTTAAAGCTCATTCACATCCACTTAAGAAGCGTAGCTTAACTTAACTTACGTGAGAGACGTAAGTTGAAATACATTGAAACCAATGCAGCTGTTTACATTCGTAGAAAACTTAACGTATTCAAAAGTTGGGTCCGTCTCAACTTAAGGTAATACGATATAGTGCTATCTTGTTGTTTCAGTTTTATAGATAGATAGGCAACCCAGTCTACATCGATGTATACATTGCGCGTGCTTGTATATTACGTTCTTTGCGTGTATTAACTTAATGTAAACAGACAACTTAACAGACGTAGGTTTCTTTAAGTTAAGTTAAATTAAGTTACGCTTATTAAGTGGATGTGAATGAGCTTTTACTATCTACTTATTTACTTAACTTAATTTTTGTCTTCTAGGGGCCTAAATTAACATTTAACAGTTAATTATAATAATTATTGCCAGCTTTCTTCTTCTTCATGGTTAATACCGTGTGCTTTGTATCAATATATAATAATTTAAAATAAATAAATAAATAAAATAATCTACAATTAACACTTTTTTTTAGTTGTCCAGAATTAGGTGCCTGCATAAGTCCGGAACTATGGTGCGATGGACTACGTCACTGCCCTTCCGGAAACGACGAACAAGAATCTAATTGCTCCATTAACAATGGTTTCCCCGTTCAGTACCTAAATTCTGTTGCTTTAACAGCTGTAGGCTTAGTACTAGTTGTTACAGTTGTTTCGATTATTTTCTACACCTACAGACACTGGAAACGCGAACAAAAAAATGTTATAGTATCCGTAACCGAGCATACTTTTCTTGAATTTAAGAGTGGCTTGTGCTAAACTAACGACTGATGATTATTAACTGAACAATCAAAATAGAGTAATATCTTTGTGTGGACTGCACTTTAGGTTTTATCTGATAAAAAATTGGCATTTTTTTCATATTTAGTGTTGTACTGGATTAAAGAACTTTTGTATTGCTTTAAATAACTTAAAAACGTTAAAATAAGCTAAAAATAAAACTTTTTTATAAAACGTTTAAAGTACGAAACATATAGGTAGACATATAGAAATAAATTAACAAACTTAAATTTAAACTTTCCTTTTTAACCTAGTGTGAAAATGATGGTTATTATCTTCAATTGGTCTAAAATTTAAACTTTATTGTTCTTAAAACTCGTTAACAAAGTGATTGATTATAGCCTAGGCACCTAAAAATGATTTAGACCATTTGGGTTCGCTTATTTAGGACCTAGACCGTAACAATTTACTACTTTGGACCAACAAAAAAATTCGACTTCTGTCATTATAACAGTGTCATAACCCCACTTTCTACTTTTAATAATTGTACGTTTTATGTAGGTATTGGCTTAAAATTATTAAAAACATTACAATTGTAAGAACTTACATATAAAATGTTGTATGACATTCGGAAAAAAGGTCTTTTTGTGCTTTGCTCAATTGTAAAAAGACTTTTGTCCTTATGACCTAAAAACCTATTTATAAAAAGTATGTCATTTTTTTGTCAGACTTTTTAAGGCGCGTGAAGAAAAGGACCAGAACACCGTAACGAAATCTCGACGGGTAACCAATTTGGACGCGTTTACGCGTCGGCGTTACGTTACGGTGTTATGTTGTCTGTCTGTACGCGCCCTAACATACCTAAAGTGACTGGGGTAGTAAATTTGTCCAAAAAACACAATTTAAATTGATTTGCGGGTAGTGTATTGAATGTTTGATAAAATGAAGCCTCAAGCAATGATTTAAAGTGTGTTTTTTGATAAATAATATAATTAATTAAGTTTAATATTTTGTGTAACATATCCAAGTATCAATCTGCATTAAGCGTTGCAACCAGAGAAAAATATATTAATTATTCTTTTATTTTCTGGTATTATTGCTATTTTTTTATTTATTAATAATCTTATATTTGATCTGGTTGTAATGTAAACTATAGCAATATACTTCTATTTTATTTAAGGAAATGTGATGTTTAGTACAAGAACGGTGAGATTCGTATAGTTCACTGACTGACAATATATCTGTTGTATATATAATATGAAAAGTTTTTATGGTAATAATAAAACTTCAAAAAACTGCGTAATTTCCTTTAATTAAATTATCGTAACTACCCAGCAACGTTCACTAGCAGGTAAACAAATAAACAACAAATTCATAGCACGTGATTTAATTATTTTTTATTGACATTTCCTTGTTAAAAATCTTTTGGTCATGTCACCCGAAATAAGGTGAATACAAATATAAGATGTGCAGTGCCGGCTTATAAAGGTATCCCGGCCTTAAAAATTGTTTTTACTTGAGTAATAAATTAATATCCCGAAAACAAAATTGTTTTGATTACATGCAAAATTATTGCTTTCAAGATCAAGGTCTATTACTTGAGTAATAAACAGTTTATTTTTTACCTCTTTTAATTTGAATTTTAAATTAGTACTAGGCATAATAAGAAGCATAATAATAATATTAGTTATTTATGTCAAAAGGATGTCTAAAAGACGTATTTTGATAGACGTCTTAAAGATATCCTCTTCTGATTCCGCCGTTTATTTATTTTTTTTTTTTTTTTTTGATAAAATAGTGGATTTTGACAACTCAAAGTCGAAATTATATATATATATATATATATATATATATATATATATATATATATATCCCATAATCAGCAACTTCATAGTAAGATATAATTAGGTATCATCTTATTTTGGTGTAATAGAAACAATATTAAAGACATTAAAGTCTTTAATAAAGATGTCTTTTGTATGTCTGTATTATGCCTGAACGTCTGAAGATCTAAAAAAGACGTCTGAAAGAAGTCTTTTGATAGACGTCTTAAATATATCTTTATTTAATGTTCTAAAGACATCTTATAAATGCCTGATTCCGACGTTTATTTTTTTTAATTTTGATTTATCTACTATATTTTCATGTATTTACAAATAAATAACAAATAAAATATATTTATTTTTATATTGTTCCTACCGAGCATTTTGACTTTCAAATGGACATCAGGCACATGTTTAATTTTAAAATCACGTCCCTGTTTTAGTACTGCGCATGCGATTTTGGAATTGTGCATGTCCCTGACGTCTATCTGACAGTCCAAATATTTGGCAGGAACAAACCTTATAGGTACCTATATAACAATACACGCAAAGTAATGGGTTTTACTGGCTCAAGAAGGTGACAGGCACTTCTAACGACTCGCCAGTCATACGGCCAGTATAAACCCTTGTTACCATGCTAGTAATGTATTATAGTATTACTTACCTTAAAATGTTATGAACATCTGTCACGGCCATAATTCGAGGGGTAAACCACTGATTTTTTAAAATAAAAATCGCATGCGAATTAACGGCCAAGGATTACAGGATCATAAAGGTAGTCATGCGCAACGCGTCGCTAAGAAAAATTTCTTTTTGATAAAGATTTTTCCTTATTGATAATGACTAATTAAATTAAATTAAATGAGCAAAAATCAGAACACAACGTCCATATAACGTTGAACGTTGGTCTCGCTGATTTTAAAGTGGTTTACCTCTCGCCACAACCCTTATTTAATTTGTTTTTAAAGAATCATTTGATTCTCCACTTCCCATCCACTTAATAAGCGTAACTTAACTTATCTTAACTTAAGAAACCTACGCCTGTTAAGTTGTCTGTACATTAACTTAATACACGCAAAGAACGTAATTTACGAGCACGCGCAATGTATACATCGATGTAGACTGGGTGGCCTATCTATCTATAAAAGTAAAACATCAAGATAGCGCTATATCGTTTTACTCGGCATGTGATACATTTCTTACGTGAGCCAATCACATGCCGAGTAAAACGATATAGCGCTATCTCCCAGTCTACATCGATGTATACATTGCGCGTGCTCGTAAATTACGTTCTTTGCGTGTATTAAGTTAATGTACAGACAACTTAACAGGCTTAGGTTTCTTAAGTTAAGATAAGTTAAGTTACGCTTATTAAGTGGATGGGAAGTGGAGAATCAAATGATTCTTTAAAAACAAATTAAATAAGGGTTGTGGCGAGAGGTAAACCACTTTAAAATCAGCGAGACCAACGTTCAACGTTATATGGACGTTGTGTTCTGATTTTTGCTCATTTAATGTATTCCCTTAAGTTGAGTCGGACCCAACTTTTGAACACGTTAAGTTACGTGTGATAAGTTTTCTACGAATGTAAACAGCTTCAGATTGGGTATAAAACTAAAACCAATATCAAAGGTAACTCCTAAATCCTTGATTAAGCCTATAATATAATAATAACCTTATATGCAAAATTTGTCCGGATCTTCGACAAGCAGAAATAAGTTTTGGTGCTTATTGCGCTTTAAGTTAGTCCGTATAGACACCGTCTACCTACTTCCGTTACAGTTCTTTTGTGAAAATCTCCATATACCAAGATTCTGTTAGCATAGTTAAAGTAAAATGAAAATTGTAAAAAACTTAAAATTACAAATTCTTTAGGTGTGCTAAACCCGGTCCTGCACTAAATGAAATAAATCGTGTTACCTGATAAAAACACACATTGTTTTGGAATTTTTAGGAAGTATACTTGCTACGCCAGGTTGATATAATGTTTAAAAATAGAATATATATATAAGTATATATATTATCTATTTTTAAACATTATATCAACATGGCATAGCAAGTTATTTAATGGCCATAGGGGAATTAAATATGCAGCTAACTCAGGGCCGGATTAAGCCAAAAGGGGGCCTGGGGCTAAAAAATGTTGGGGGCCCTCAAAGTTCTTTATTAAAAGAAAAATGTAATTTTTAGTAATAATAATAAAAAGCCAATAAAAAACAACTTAGGTATTTATTATTGATCTTTACAACGATTTTTTTCGAGCTTTTCTATTAGAAAATTCGTCAATTAGATCATCAAAGTTTAATGAAGACAAAAGGTCATTCTCAATATTCATTAAAGTTAAATGAGATAATCTTTCATCACCCATGCTAGCTCTATATTTTTTTTTTATAAATGAAAGTTTTGAAAATGACCTTTCTGTTTCACAATTTGTTATTGGAATGCATAAATAAATTCTTAAAGCTATATAAATTTTTGGAAATACTTCTAATAAATCCTTTTCAATTAAAAGGTCTAAAAGGAAAGGAACACTAATTATATTTTTGCCATTTAAAGTTTTTAAATATTCAGAAAATTGAAGGAGTTCGGGAACCAAGTTTTTATCTAAATCGTCGGAATAAAGACCAATTACGTTTAAAGCTTTGTCAGTTATCTCATTGGAAGAAAGGGTGGTTAAGTGACCAAAAAATCCAAACATATCGCTTACTTCTTTGTAAGCTTGGCTACGTTTTTTCAGCTCAGATGTTATTTTATCTATCATCGGTAGGTACGATTCTATTCGAAATTTATCTTGACCTTGTCGTGTTGTTTCTGTTGAGCCGTCGGCTAATTTTTTAATAACATTACGTTGATACTCATCTTTGTATAGAGTATTTAAAATCGAAGACATAGCTTTTGCTTTTTTCTCTAATGATTCAAATTGGCCTCGTAGGTTGCAAACAAACTCTAGTAATGACACTAACATTTTATGTCCTGTTATGACATCAAGACCCGGTTTTTGCAAGTACTTACTGGTGGTATCAAATCTCTCCAATAATTCATTCCAGAAAGTAGCCATAAAAGCGTTTTCTAAACTTATCATTTTTTTCTTTAAAAAAAATGCGTCATCCTTCGTATCTTTTTTTTCTAATGGGTTTTCAGCCAATTGTTTTAAAGCATTAAAAATGCCATCATAATTGCTGACAAGGGACTTTACTGCTTGTTCGCGACAGGACCATCTTGTCGCAGAAAGTGACTTTACAACCAATACATTCCTGTGTTCACCATTTTCTTCGTTCTGTTTCTTAATGTTTTTAATTAAAATTTCCCAGCGATGAGTAGATGCACCAAAAAACGCATATAATTTCTTCAAAAAGCCGAAAAAATTTGAAGCTTCTACACATTCATCCACGCTAGATTCTCCGACTAAATTTAGTGAATGAGCTGCGCAAGGAACATAACGGGCAAGTTTATTCATTTTTTTAATTTCAGCTTGAACACCATTATATTTACCAGACATATTACTAGCATTGTCATAGCTTTGCCCTCTACAGTTCTCAATTTTCACGGAGTTTGTACGTAAAAGAGATAAAATTTCGTTCGCAAGGGATTTTCCTGTGTGACTATGAATGGGAACAAAACAAAGAAATCGTTCTATAACTTTTCCATTTAAACAGTATCTGAATACAACAGACAGCTGATCCACATGTGAGAGATCAGGTGTGGAATCTACTATTATGGAATAATATTTTGCCTCTTTAATTTCAGTTATAATTGTATTGTAAATTTGTTTGCCCATACATCTAATTATTTCTTCATATATGGTCTTAGAGATGTAGGATACTCTGCCTTTGCCCTTCTGCCCAAAATTTTCCAAATGTTGATATAAAAATGGATCAAACTTTGAGATGAGTTCTAAAATTCCTAAATAGTTTCCATTATGTGAAGAACCTAATCTTTCGTCTTCACCTCGAAAAGCCAGACCTCTTTCAGCAATAAATTTTATAACCTCAACAATACGTTTAAAAACGTTTTTCCAATACTCAATTTCTTTGTCCATTGATTTTGTAATTTCTTCATCTATTTTGGAAGATGTGGAATGCGTTTTCCATGTTAAAAGGTTTTTACGATGCTCCAAACTATTTTCGTGAGATTTTACTTTTTCTTCTGCCTTTTTCCAATCAGAAAACCCGGTTACAAATATTTTTTTCTGATCTGTGCAAAACAGTTTGCAAATAAAGCAATAAACTGATCCGTTTGATTTTGAATACATTAGCAACTTTCTTACATATGACTCCCCGTTTGATTGCCGACTTTCGAACAGTTTTACTGACAATGACCGATTTTGTTTTTGGCATTTTCGAATTGATGCTTCAAACTTTCCATCATTATTTTGGAAGTAACCTGAACCTCTATTTAAGTAGGCTTGCCTCATACAATCACTAAATGTTGTAGGCCATAGGGCTGGATCTTGTTCAATTCGCATTTCTTGCGAATGGAAGACAACGCTTTCATTAGTTTCAGGCAGCTGTATTTTTTCTGATTTGTGTACACTTTTTTCCTCATTGCTTACACTTTCACTTGATAAACTGATATTGCTTGAAGTCGAACACGTAGGTTGTTCTTGACTAACTAACACATAATTTGAAGTTAAAGGGGTTTTGCTAATAGGGAAGACGTCTGTAAGTTTTGTCAATTCTACAAAGTTTTTTTTAATTTCGGGCAGTTGCATTTTTTCTAAATTTTGTACACTTTTTTCCTCACTGCTGGCACTTGCACTTGATAAACTGATATTGCTTGAAGTCGAATACGTAGGCAGTTCTTGATTGACTAACACAGAATTCAAAGTTAAAGGCGTTTCGCTAATACGAAAGAAGTCTGTAACTTTTGGCAATTTAGCAGTTTTTTTAACCTTTTCTTCTTGAATCTGTAAATGAATTTAAAAAATATCTTTTAACAGAGTGAAAAACCATCGCAGGCCTGTGTAATTAATCCCTTGCAAATAATCTATTTATCATTAATTTTATGGCAAAAAATTAACCGGTACTGTGGTGTCTGGGAGACACTCATCAACGAACAAAGCGCTGTCACACCCTCACCTTTTGTTTTAAAAATCTGTCGCTTCCAATACTTTTAAGTTAAGCAGTTATCAATATGCTCTCAGACTTTGAACAAGTTGGATTGTCAAACGGACAAATTATTACGAGTCAAAGTGTTGAGGTGTCTGGTAGACCACTGCGTACCGTTTACGTAATTTTTATAAAACAATTAATTCCTTATGGATTCGCAACAAGGGCCTTCTAAAAGTGTCCAAAGTGATAAGAAGGGCTTTAAGGAAACTGTAATGTAGTAGTTTTATGAAATCGACATTGATATAAGTGATATAGATGACTAGTATATTACATAACCATTATAGTGATTATGTCGTTGAAGATAATCACAGCAGCGATTCAGGACTTGTCTGTGTCAGACTCTGTGAAGAGTCTATAGAAAATAATTTTATGAGGTCAGATGGTGAAGAATTTGAAATTTTTTAGGAATTTAAAAAAAAACAAAAAAGTTACTACGGAAAAAATAATTGTAAAAATCAGCTATAGTTTGAAGCAGTTATTTTTGCTGTTTAAAAAAGATATATTTGAATTTTTTTTGTTTATGTTATTTTTTAAGGTATATTCTTCGAAATAAAGATCGGTTTATTTTGTTTGGTTTAATATTTTTTATAGTTTAATCACAAAGTTTGCACTACTGCACTTTTTGTACATGTTTTGATTAAAACCTATTTGTTTAAATTTTTATTTTATTTAGGTATTATTTTTGGTGATATTCTAACTTTATATATAGTTCCTAGTATCCCCAAAGCCTCAGATAAAAAAAAATAATATAAATTATAATTTTAAAAGGCAGGTGTCTCTCAGACCACTCAGTACCGTTTATGACCTGAAAGTCGTACAGTACCGGTTACGGGTTAATTTAATTCATATCATAACAAAAAAACAAAAATAGGTACCTACACCACGAGATAGAAAAAAATTAAACACAGCAGCAAACTACAAATTAATTAAGACTAGTTTTAATTTAATATTTAAAAAAATATCATACCTATCATAATATAAGTATATAATATCAAAATACATTGTTTTAAATTTTGAAAATATATTTTCAAAATTAATATTCTTTTTAAAATTTAAAAATAGGAGTAGTTTGCATTTGTTTTGTTAGTTTTGAGCCTATAGTTTAAACTTTACTTTACTATTTTACTATTTACTATTATTAATATTAATTGTACCTAATGGTAAAGTATTTGTCATATCGATATCGAGGGTAAAATGGTATAAAGGGATACCATTTTATTTTAAGTAAATTAATCGTAATTTGGTTGGAACTGATCTTACCTTACGTTTAGCAAATCCGCTAAGGTATTTTCTGCCACTTGACATTTTTTTAAATTAAATTGCACTTACAATATAACTAACTAACCCAAGTAATATCCAGAAATAAAGCGTCTAATTTTTTACCATCCTTTGGCGGCTAGCCGTCAAAGGATTAATTGTTTTAAATGTGCCGTGCGGCCGCGGCCTTTTGACACACTTTGGTCTATCGGCGACTATTAAAGGGTTGATAAAATAAATCATCTTTTAATAAGTACCGATCGGCTACTGTCGGCCGCTAACAAAACATGACAAATTATATTTCAGTATGTTTTTTAATAAACAATATTATAGTAGTTTTATTTTATGTAGGAATTAAAAATGTGTACCTATTTAATATTTTGTTTAAAAAAAATTCTGTCGGTGGTGTCGGGGGCCCCGAGTGGCGGGGCCTGGGGCTATAGCCCCCCTAGCCCCCCCCTTAATCCAGGGCTGAGCTAACTTATACGTGACTTAAAAACAATGACCTTAATATTTTAGGCGAAAAGTGACCAACAAAAAATTATTCTTTCAAGGTGAAAAATTATAATGAGTATAAATAAATTTAAATTTACAATAAAATTCTGTATAAATTAATATACCTATTAATTAAAAAAATTAAATTTAAACTAAAAATTTTAACAAAATTTAATGGGTATTCCCAAGTTTTTAAAATAATTTTTTTAATATTTTATGTATAATTTTTATAATTGTTTGTTTACTTTAAATATTTATTTATAAGTATCGGTCGTATAGCGTAATTGCGCCATTTTTGAACACCTAAAATCTAAATAGAAAAAAAAACAAATTTTAATACACATTATGATTAATTATTTATCTTTAAAATGATTCATTTAATTAATTGAGCCATTGATTCTTTGAATTTAAATTAACATACAATTATTTAATAAACAGTGCAAAATAATAGTCCATGTTTATGCTTGACCTTAATGCTATATTTCACTGTATAAGAAAATATTATGGCGTAGGTCAACTAATATAATGATGACATCATATATGTCATGGGCCTACACCTTATTTATCGGATGATCCAGGTTAGTATTAAGATTAATTTTGGTAAATCCTCAACAAGTTTATTTGCTTTAATAAATACTTATTTTGAATGTTTTCTTTTATAAATTAAATTAACCATTAATGCCTCATTTAGAACCTCGTAATTAGTGGAATAAATTAGTGGTTTCAATTAACCTAAAAGTTTGTCACACAGTAGGGTGTTAAAATTATGAGAATTTATAGTTTTTTACGAAAAATAGGTACTCTTGATTTGAATTGCTCAGATGCACCATTTTCGAGAAAAATGCATTTATATATAAATTACTCTGCATATTATACACATCTCATATTTTCATTAAAACTTTGTAGTAGGCTTTGGAAAAAAGTGACGTTTTTTGTTTTTTTTACAACACTTCCTGTTTCAGATATAAATATGTGATTTTTTTACTACATGATGCTAAAAGTTAAAATGGTTTTGTTGGATGTTGGTGGAAATCAAACTTTGGCCTTGAAATACCTCTGGAAGAAATCAATTTATAGAAAAATTATAAGAGACATTTTTTATAGAGCGTTAAATTTACTATAAAAATCTAAAATGTTCCTTGCCATAAGTTGATTCGATATAGATGTATAAAATTCCAAAGTAAAAAAAAATGTTCCTATGTTATTTAAATGGGAAATAGAAAATTGCGATCCGCGACCTCTAAATCTTCAAATTAAAAGCTCAAATTTTAACGAGGTCATTGTTTTGACATCCTCTGAAAGAATTTGCTGACCATTTGAATAAAAATAAAAAGTCGATTTTTTGAAACACCCTAATACAAAGTGTTGTTAACAACCAGAAAATTAGTGGTGGTACTTTTCAATTAGTGGAAAGAGTTTGCAAACTCCAAACATTTACCACTAATTATAATTGGAAAGCGGCTTTGCGCATGTGCGCGGATATTTTGTGTCAAAAGCAAAAAGTTTTAAAGATTTACCAGTGACGGTAAGGTTATTTGTATAAATATTATTCTAGTGGTTGTTAAAAATATTATTTTATTATAATTAATATTGTTTATGTTAGGTTAAGAAGAATGGACAATCTTTTAGCAAATTCCTTTAATTTGTTAATTTTGCACATTGTGAATGATCGTTTTGTGTTAATTATAAGTAGGTATAATTGAAACCACTAATTTTTTCCACTAATTACGATGTTCTGAATGGGGCTTAAACGTTTATAAAAATTAAAAACTATTTGGTATACAAAGGGCTCGCCGCGGTGTTATATTTCCTTTGTTCAATCTTCTTAAAGATGGTTTCATTATAGAAACATTATAGAAACATTAACTTCTTGGAGCAAAACGCAATAAAGCGGCTTTTGCAAGTAGTGTGAAATGCCGGACAATCCAAAAACCTGTAGCTTGCAAGCTATTTTTTAGTACGTGCGCCAGTGACTTTCAAACTTTATTTTTTCAGGTAATAATTTATTGGTGATTATTTTTATAATTTGTAAAGTATTGGTCCTTGATTGATGCCTACGCGGCTTATTATAATAAATGGCCCAATGATATGGTCTCTGACAATTCCAGACCAAACATTTAATTTCAGGAGGCGCTGTGTTTAAGCAGCCCATATATCTGTAGGGATTTCTCCCTCTTTCCCACCAGCGGATGTTTTGGGAATTTTGATGACAAGATAATGAAAAAGTCGTCTCATCCGTTAAAAGGATGTTAAGGATGAAATTATTATCCGTTCGAATTGGCAAACAATTTTATTTTGAAGTAGCTTCAGATAGTTTTGCCCATTAAGGTTCCCATCAATAATTATTTCCAATTTCTTTTAAAACCATATGGTTTCAGCAAGACGGGTCTCCTGCACATGATACCTTGGTTGTCAGAAAATATTTAAATACAAATTTTCCGAATCGCGTGAGAGGTCGTTATGAAAAAATTATCTGGCTTTCAAGTTTACCGAATTTATTTTAGTGTGGTGGCCTATTTAAATATTTAATTTAGAAAAAAAATAGTTTCCTCTTTTATTTGAGAATTTATAGTTTTAATGAATTTCAGCAAAAAAATACAATGTATTGTTTAAAATCTCTTAAATTTTTCATATTTACTGAGAGTTACAGATACCCATAGAATGCAGATACCTTATCTAGTTTATTTATTAATACCATATTTTTTTTAATAATAAAATCAGTTTATTCGTCTCCAAAAACTTTACAGGTTTACAGAGAGACACCACTAAACAAGAGTACCCAGTCGCCAAAGTGGTGACCCCGACGTGATAGGGAACGCCAATATGAGTATGAGTATAAGGGACGTATGGCTGGCCCCATCGGCAACGCCTTACACTGATCTCCCAGGGTTATTTTACCCTCCTTCAGTTCTCCTACGTATACCGCCACTGCACAGAATTACCTGTGTTTGGTGGATCCGAATTTTCACCCCGTCAGGTAAATCTCGCCTAGAAGATCGTGGATGACAGTGTCGATGGTTAAGGCCACTCCCGGAATTTTGTCGCCGGGCCGGGCCATACCCCCGATTTAGGCTAGTGGAGTGCGGGACAAGGAGAGAAAACATTTTGGTTTCTGAGGGACATTAAACTAACTTAAAACTATGTAAAATCCGCAGTCCCCCTTAACCACTAATTTAGTAATAACCCAATTCAAATGGGGTTCATGAATGGTTAGTACGCTGATTAGACTTATCCTTGCTGGTCTTTTAGTACTTCCTGTTCGTCTGTCTCTGTCCAAGTCCGATTTCGGAAGTTGTACAATCCTTCAGACATTTTCCGCATAAATTTTTTGTGGATGCTGATGTGTTCCTATCGGCCGCGATAGATTTCTAAGAATTGGATCGTCTGCGAAGGTTTCTTGGAACGTCTTAACTCGGAATTTAGTGGCACCCAAACTCAATTGGAGTTCATAAATGGGGATGGTTAATATGCTGGGGGGACTATCGTGTTTCTTGTTTTACTTTTTGTCTGTCTGCTTCCGTGTCAACGCTAAAATTATGCTTAAAAATCGGTAACCGCTTTAGAATTGTTTGCCTCCCTGTGAGATATTGAATCTTGTCTTCAGTGCCGAAGTGTTGTCGACCACGACAAGCCGTTAGCAGTAAGTGTCATCTGCCTTCGTGGAATCTAAGCATAGCATGTACGAATTATTTAACAATGTTTTTACAATGTCCAGAATAGCTCTGTCAATTCTTAACGGGAAAACTGGAGGATCAAAGCAATTTTTGAACTCTTTTGCAATGATTTTTACAGTTCCAGCTGCGAATCCCATTTTGATAGTTTTGCATGGTGTTGCCAGTGGTTCTGAGGATGGCAGGCTCGTAAAGTTTGTATTTTCTGGGGTAAAACCAGGTGTCCACCACCGTATATCTCAAATTTAAAATGGGCTTCAGGCGACTGATCACGCTCGTCCCAAACAAATGCAATAAAACCCTTAAGATCTTTGCAACATTTTCATCAGCATTAGTTACGTTGGATTTTTATTCACAAAATCTAATATCTTTATAGCAAAAGACTGATAGACGGTATGGCTCTTGCAAAGTTACCACCTTTTGGTGTCCTTGCAACTGACTACTGGATCTTGTAGTTGAAATCCGGCAGTTGCATGTTTGTCTGTATGCCATTACACAAAGCGATCGGTAAGTGATCATCGTCAAGGTCGTATTTGAAAATATCTATTATGTAAGTTTTCAATTTACCACCGATCTCAATCATATTCTTGTTTTTTTCGAAACACAAGCAAATTATTCGTGTTATCTTCGTGGGTACCTGCATGATTTTTGACCTATTGGATTGCTTGGCAAATTATCGTTTATTTGAAAAACCGATTACAACGAACATGACAGCGCTAACAATTTTCTGACAGTCATTTATTAATTGGGTAAACCAGGACGGTTGGTCACCTTACGGATGGATCTAATGGTTTCAGCAAGAGTCGAACCCACTTAGGACCAGTTCTCTCGCGAGAGAGAATAAAACGTTAAAGCAAAAAAATAATTTGGTAACGTCAAATTTACAATTTGCATTGTATCATTGTGTCATTTTTGGAATGAAGGTAATAATAAAGGGTGTACTATCTAAACTATCATGAAAAAAATCTAGCTGATATTAGTAGTGATTATATGATTACTTTTCGATTTTGTAAAAATATATTTTTAATTTATATACGTGGAAGGTGTATTCAATTTAACTTATTTTAATTTAATTGCATTTATATTTTGTATTAATTCAAACATTAAAATAAAACATTTATTGTGTTTAACTCATTATGAAAAATTATATTTTTATTAAATTCCAAAATACGGACCTGTACGTTGTGGGTCAGTTCCTCCGTGAATCTATAGAAGCCCGAACAAAAAGCTCGCAGTCGATTCAGTTCGAGTTGTACTCTAGTAAGTGAAAGTGATCAAAGCGGTAAAACAACAACAAACATGGCAGTCAGCAGATTATCTATCATCAAGTTTTTAGAACTTGTAAGTACAAACAAATATTTAAGTTATAGTTTTTTTAAACATAATAATATTTAAAGATAAATTAATATTCTTTGGTATATAAGTTTTATTATTTTAAATTATTGTTTTTATTTAGCTTTTTTCCTCCTTAAAAAAATATATTTAATATTCGACCTAAATAATGTTTTAATAGATGTTTTATAGATAATTGTAAAATTTGTTTAGGTATATGAAAGGATAATTTACTTTTAAAAAGTGAAATTGGAAAATTATATTTTTCTGCGTAGATTATTATCTCACTCAACATCAAACTATTTTGTAAATAGATCGATATCCCTTTAGAAGGCTAAAATGTGTGCGTAAAAAAGTATCACATGGCAATTTTTAAAATAATAATTAATACCAATAGAAATTATTGGGAATTTAATTTAACACCCTTTACTATTTATTTGATATCTGAAAACAATTTTGTACGTACAAAAAATACCTAGTAATATTAAGTAAAAGTTGGTTCTACTCCTATTGCATATTATTGACAGTATTTGTTTTTTTCCGTAAATAATGGTTACCAATATAACCGCCCCGCCCAACAATGGAAATATTGAACTCATTATTCACGTTTTTAGGCATCAGTGATTGGCTGAATTCAATATTTATTGTTATTTAAACCAATCGGGTTTTAAATTGGGAAAAAAGTATGGTTAAAAGATGTCAGATTTGTTTATACTACGAGGGGCGACTATAATGATCTTTAAAATCGGGGAAAAGTGAGGTTATAATAAATTTTGTTATCATAGAAAATTACTTAATTAAAGTAGAAAAAGCATAGTATTACACTATTATAAACATAATAATACATAAAGATAAATTAATATTCTTTGGTATATGAGTTTTATTATTTTAAATTATTGTATTTATTTATATTTTTCCTACTTAAAAAATAAATATATTTTATATTTGACCTAAATAATGTTTTCTCTCACTCCCCATTAAACTATTTTGTAAATAGATCGATATCCCTTATGAAGGCTTAAATATGTGCGTAAAAGAGTGTTAGATGGCAATTTTTAAAATAATATAACCTTAAAGCTTAATAATTAATACCAATAGAAATTATAGGGAATTTAATTAAACAGTGTTAATTTAACACCCTTTACTATTTAACTCAAATATAAAAATATACATAATTATATTTGTATATTAATTTAATAATAATTGTGTATGATAATTTAACAAAATACCGTAATAAAATTTTATTTGTCTAGAAAATTATTTTAGTTAAGAATTATATCACCCAGTAAACTGGGCTCAGATATCGGCAAAAAATATTGTTTAATATTTATTTTTTATTATTTAAATAATATTGAAAAAACTTAAATTATTTAAAAAATTATTATTAAATTGAATTATTATTGCTAAGTAGTTATAAATTTAGTAATGATTAAAAAAATAATATAGCAGTCACTGATTATTTGAATATTGAGAAAATAGAAACAATAATGTTATTAATTATCTCAATAAGTTATTTTTATATTTAAAAAGAAGTTGAGTTTTAGATACATATTTAGTAAACAATAGCCAAAATAGAACCAGAGCTGCAAGCTCTCAAAAAACTTAAATCGTTTTTTTGATTTAAATCGTTTTAATGACTTAAGTCATTTGGTAATAAGTCATTTCTCTAAAACTGACTTAAGACTTAAAATTTAAGTAATTTTCAAAATGATTTGTGACTTAAATATTTTTTTCAAAATGGAAAAGACTTAAGTCATTAATAAAAGGCTTAAATCAGTACATACGATTTAAGTCATATAGAAACGATTTAAGTCAAAAAAAGATTTAAGTCTTTATAAAAGTCGGTAAATTATTTAAGTAATTTAAAAAGATTTAAGTCTTTTTGAAAAAGATTTAAGTCTTTTTAGAAAATATTTAAGTCAGATTTTTCATATATTTTTTTATAAACTTTTAACAGCGGCATTTTCTTTTGAACTTCCAGGGGTTCACGCGGCAGCAGATCAAAAACTCCTTTAATTTCCTACCTACAATTGCTACCGCTAGTGAATAAAAAAACCGCCGCGGTAAAGTTAGCTTTTCGAAACCGTTTGACGGCTACATTAAAAAATGTCCTGTCTAAAATAAATGAAAAAAAATGAGAATTTATAATTTTGATATTTTGTTTGCCAACATTCGTCGTGTTATGCGTGCGTAGTTAGGTCTAATTTGTAACTTTTATCTATTTTAACAGAGTTTGAATAGATCTATACCGTTTACCCATTTATGTATATAAAAAAGTAGCCTCCCTGTATGTACTCTACTAAAAAAGATGGTTTAAGTTTTTATTTTGATTGTCTACTATATACTCAAAAAATGTGTTTTAAGTTTTTATTTTGTTTGTAAGTGTTCTGAAAATAAATCGTTTTAAATTCTTAACATAGTGGCTTATTATTAGGGATGGGATATTTAGGTACTAAAAACTGAAAAATAGGTAACTAAAAAGGTACTTAAAAAAAGCATTTTAGGTAAAAAAAACAGTATTTTAGGTAAAAAAAAAACATTAAAAGTTTAAGTTTAGTTTATAATTTTGTTTAGCCGCATACCCAAACACAGAACATACCCACAATAAACTATTTCTATGCAATAAACTGTGTTTTACTGAGTGACACTCACTACACAGAAGTTCTATGACAGAACATAAGCTCACTAGTAGTGAGTCACTACAAAGAAGGTAACTGTAAAGAAAGTTACTGTTACAGTCTGTAACCATAAGAAAAGATTCTATACAGTTGAGTTGCACGCCCTGGATAAAATATTGGCGCAAATTTTAAAAAGAACAAAAAAAAAATAAGTAAAAATACGTAAAAATGGGTAACAAATATATGAAAATAAACTGACAAATTCAAAAATATGTAACAAAAGTATAAAAAGGTAGTTTAAAGCAAAAACCTCCAAAAAAGGTAAAAAAGGTGAAAAAAAGTTAAAAAAATAGGTAACAAAAGTATAAAAAAGGTAGTTAAAAGCAAAAACCTTCAAAAAAGGTAAAAAAGGTGAAAACAAGTTAGGTTCATATAAAAGAAAATCTTTTAAAACACATTTTGGCATTATTGGTTTTCAAATAGTTACATCGGTTAAAAAAAGGTAAAATAACTAAAATCCCATCCCTACTTATTATCATCTGTATCTACAATAGATTAATAATATCAGTATCATTAATACCATAAAATTATTAACATTTAAAAAATCGTTGTATTAACTTAAGGGTAATTATTTTGATTTAAATCACAATTTTTGATTCAAGTCATTTTATTGACTTAACTCTTAGATCACGATTTAAATAAAAAATATAGACTTAAGTCATAAAAACGACTTACTAAAGGAATTAAGTCATAAGATGACTTAAATCACTTTATATTGATTTAAGAATTTGGGAAAATGACTTGACTTGAAAGAAAATGATTTAATTCAAAGACTTAATACTTAAATCATTTGAACTTTATCTTAGAATTGACTTAAGATTTAAATCATTTTGATTTTAGAATTGACTTAAGACTTAAGATTTAAGTCTTTTTAAAACTGACTTGTTGCAGCTCTGAATAGAACTAATGAATTAGTTGGATATTTAATAATTAACAGTACAAATATTATACCAAGTATATACCAAGTATTTGGATATTATAAGTATTATACCAAGTATTTGGATATTTAAAATTTAACACTGAAGATTTTACTAAATATTTGAATATTAAATAATTAATAATGAAAATTAATTAATTACTAAGATAATTAATAAAACAGCCAAAATATTACTAATTAATTAGATATTGAGTAATGTTACAAATAACTTGGACAACACTCGAATTTTTGAGAAAAGAGATGTGACATTTAACAGGAACGGAACAGAAACGGTACGGAAAAGAGACAGATATGGTACGGTAACGGGACAGGATGGGAGCAGAAATACGACAGGATTTAAGACAGAAACAGGAAAAAAAACAAAACAGTAACGGAAAAGGACAGGAACGGGATAAAAACAGTACAGGAACGGAACAGAAATGGGACTATTGGTCAAAAAAATTACTAAATATTCCAATAATTAGAAATATATTTTTTTAAATTACTAAATATTCAAATATTTTTTTTGTTAACCCTAACTTTTAAAATAATTAAATAGTTATTTATGTATCAAGGCAGTACAAAAAGGGTTTTTTTTCGTTTTGGTTGTCGATGTTAATTTGTTTCTGCGGTGGTGGAAATTCGGTTCTAAATTTGCGGTTTGGGAAATGAATAAATGTAGATATGCTTGTTTTGAGATAAATATTATTAAAAATTCATAACTTTATCATGGTTATATTTCCCTAATTGGAAATTTCAAGAAATTACAGAAAACGTCCAATAAAAAAATGTTGATTATCCTTATTTTTATAAAATTTTCAAGACGTTTATAATCCAATAGGACAAAAAACTTATATGGTCAAACGTCTAGGTAAAAAAAATATTTTTTTACGAATTTTTGTATGCTCCGGATTGGCGACTGTGAGTCTTGAGCGGTGCGGTTCAATAACAAAAAAATCAATATCGATTCTACACGTGATAATACCCAATAATTTTAATACTAGTTAATAGGAAATCCGCAACCTTTAACTAACAAATAATCCGTCAGGTAATTTTAATTAGTCGCAAACAATTTCCAAGACTCCCATGCACAAAAATGAAACATAGTAAAAAAAAACTATAAACACAAAGGCATACATACGAAGCCATTAATCACTCAAGTTACGATAAAAATTAGGCAAAAGAAACCATCTTAAAGAAATAAACATCTTTAGATTACTAAGACGTAAGGGGTTAGGTAAATAACCGTTCCACGAGTAAAAAAACAGCCGCACCGCACAGTGAGGTAAAAATTCGAGGGTACGTCGGTACTCGGCAAAAGGGGCTGAATTCCACGTAGTCAGAGGGACTAATTACGGCGGGTACGGTCGGCAACACTTCGGTTCTGAAGATAAGACTCAATATCGCACAGGGGG